TACTTTGAGCGAGGTACCATGTAGTGTAATTTGAGATAATAATATGCTACGTGTTCATTGACTGAATTTGAGTACTTTTGATTTTTCAGCAGAGAAATTTATATATATATATATATATATATATATATATATATATATATATATATATATATGATCCTAAACCCATTTACCCTAAGGTGTCGGGTGTAATGTCTTTAGTTAGTTGCATATAAAATTTTTCTCCATTGCTTTTTATTCTTTGCTTGGTGTCTTGCTTGTTCTTTGCTGATTCCTCGTATCTCTAGGATTGAGGTTAAATTATCATCCCATGTCTTCTGCCCAAGGCTACAAACTAAGAGACCAAGGCCTGCCACTTGGTCTCTTGGTTTGTCTTCTGGCTTCCCATACTTTTTTAACTGGTCTTTCTTGACTCATTCTAACCATGTGTCCGACCATCTCAGTTGGGTCTCTTCAATTTTCTTAATAATTAGGTGGACTTTAAGATGTTCTCTGACTGCCTTATTTCTAATCCTGTCTAACCTGGTTATACCGTTATTCTTCTAAGAAACTTCCCTTCTATGCTCTGTATTTTCGATTTTAATTAATCAGTATGCGTCCAACTTTCACTATCAAAAGTTAAAATCGGCACAAACACCGTCTTGTATATGGTCACTTTGATTTTTTGGGGTACTTAATAGTACCCCAAAACCTAGTACCCCAAACATAAGTACCCTACTTTAATTGCGTGGTACATCCGGGCAGTACTTTCTATTGTGGAACTTATTTCAATTTCTTCAGCTCCTCTGTTCTCTATTTGTACTCCCAAGTATTGGTAAGTATCGACTTGTTCAAGTGTATTTCCGTTAAGTGTTATCGGACTTAAGTGAACTCGAACATCGGTTCAAGTGTTATCATACCATTACTTTCGCTTCTCATTATTGATCCTCAAATTTCGTTTAATTAGTGCAGCGTTTCATAATTGTAAATTTCGATTGAGTGCTTCTTCATTTATCCTAAATATCACTAGATTGTCATCTAAGACCATGTTAAACAGTATGGGGCTAAGGACTCCTCCTTGACGTAGACCCTCGTTTACTATGAACTCTTTGGATTCCATATTATCGGTTCTGATTCTGTTCCTTGTATGTCTATATATAATCATAATGGCTTGCCTGAGTTTGATTTTCACCCCTTTTTTTAACATATGTCAATTACCTTCCTTGGAGTACTATCACATGCCTTTTGTAAGTCTTTGAAGGCTTGATAACTCAGTGCTTGAGTTTCGTGCATTTTCTTGACAGTAAAAATGTAATATTGAATGCTTCTGCCTTTTCTAAATCCACTCTATGATTGTTCCATTTTAGATTCAACTTCTTCTATTTTCAATAATAAAGTCTAATACTTTAGTTTTTGGGTTCTGTTAGGTTTAAATCTTGTTCATAACATTTTAATTCCTGTATTACGGGTAACTAACCTCACTCAGATCACGGACATAAATTGATCACACCAATGTATATCCCTCAGATCTTTTTTAATGTTGCTAATGAAAGAATCACATACTAAAATACATCAAGTTTTTTAGGTAAACCGGTAGCTTCAGACCTGTTATTGGGTTTTCATCTTTGGTTCAGGAAAAATGACGTAAACAATGTTTAATTTCTTCATAATTTTTCTTAAAGGATTTCACAGCATTAGCATCGGATCGAACAGACCACCTAATGTGACAAATATCTTTAATGCTCAAGTGTTTTCTCTTACAAAAGTATTTTAGCGCATTCCACCTATGTGTAGAAATTGAAAAAAATACTTACAATTCCTGGACAGTATTGAAAATAGTGGTAATTTTCATGCAAATGTTGGCAGCAGCGTTTCCAATTTAATTTAATTAATGATTTGCTCATGGTAATTATTGCATTGGAATTATTGATTAAAATCGGCAAAAAAATGTGTTCTAGCTTTGAGTCCTTCCTATTCCCGCAAAAATTAATCGTACTCAGATAAATATTCAAAAACATCTATAAAATTACCATTATTTTTTACCAAGAAACACTAAAGAGTATGAGAAATAAATTTGATTGTCGCTACCACACGTTTAACTACTTCCTCCAATATATATTTTTTTCAGTTATCGTTTGTTTTTCTAGTTCAGTGTCAATTCGTTTGGTAATTTCAGATCTTGTTATAAAAATTAAAATAAACTTAATGTGGTCACTGGAGTTTTCACGCTCTGGCAATTTGTTATAGACAGTTTTCCAATAATTCTTTTCTTTTGTCATTAACGCTGTTTGGTTGGAAAATAAGATTTTGACGGAGTTTTTATGTAATACTCTCGCATGGCACCTGTTAAGTATTCTGGCCTTAATTCAATATTGTTTACAAACTTTGTGCAGAATAGTTTTGGTCACAAATGATGTTTTTTAAGTTTGAACAGGTGAAATTTGTGAAAATAATGACGAATGTTGTAATTATTCTCCATTACCAGTTAAAAATTTCTTCAAAGATCTTCTCAGTTTTTTTACCAATTTATCTCGATCTGTTTTTTGTTTTCTTTTTTCATTTTTAGTTAAATGTTTATCTTCTTCTTCTTCTTTAAGTTCCATCTTCTATCGAATGTTGGAAATCATCATGGCTATGCGGACTCTGTTGACTGCCGCTCTAAAAAGTTCTGCACTACTGCATTCAAACCATTCCCTTAAGTTCTTAAGCCAGGATATTCTTCGTCTTCCCACATTTCGCTTTCCTCGGATTTTGCCCTGCATAATAAGTTGTAATAATGCGTATTTTTGCCCTCTCATCACATGTCCCAAGTACTCAAGTTTTCGTCTTTTAATAGTTAATATTATTTCCGCCTCATTTCCTATCCTTCTAGTTACTTCCATGTTTGACATTCTTTGAATCCATGATATTCGTAGGATTCTTCTGTAACACCAAAATTCAAAGGCGGCCAGCTTATTTAGATGAACTTGTTTTAGTGTCCAAGCTTCCAGGCCATAAAGAAGAGTAGAGAACACGTAACATCGAAGCATTCTCAGGCGTTGTTCTAACCTTATATCCCGACAACAAAGAAACTTTTTAAGTTTAATAAATGATGTACGTGCTATTTCAATACGTGTCTTAATTTCTTTGGTTTGGTCTACATCTGATGTTATCCATGTTCCTAAATATTTATAGTTATTAACATTCTCAATTGCAGTATCTTCAATAGTCAATTGGATATTTGCATGTGCAGATTTAGTCATGATCATGCATTTAGTTTTCTTTAAATTTATCTTCAGTCCGTACTCATGACAGCGTTCATTAAGGCGTTGCATTAGGTTCTGTAAATCATTGTTGTTATCCGTAATTATTACTGTATCGTCTGCAAAACGTAAGTTATTCAAAACTTCTCCATTGATAGATATACCTTCTATTGAGTCTGAGAGCGCTTCTTGAAATACCGCTTCACTGTAGACATTGAAAAGTAGTGGGGACAGCACGCAACCCTGGCGGGCTCTATGTTTATAGGAGCTCATTTTTAAGATTTCATACTAAAAAGAAAGAAGAAAATAATCTTAAAATAAATTATAACAAAATTACAATTTGTGATATTTTATTAATATTATTCGAATATCGAATAATATCGAATTTACACACATGGAGACTCGCTGGTCTGGATTCATAAGCACTGGAGCGCTTGTTCTCACTTGTCGATTTTATCAATCAACGATTCGGCATAATTTGGATATGTTTTATCAATAATTGTGACTATGGCATTTTCTGTTAAATAAAAATAAAAATAAATTATAAAAATAAAAAAATGAAGAAACCTAATTTTCGGGCCCTAAAATTACGGGCCCTGGGCACGTGCCTAGGTTGCCTAGGTCTTAGTCCACCCCTGTACATAGCAAATTTTCATTAGTTCATTACCTACGTTATTTGTCTTTCTAAATATGAAATCAAAACAGTAAATGATGGAATATTTTGTTTTTGTGTATATGGTTATTTTAATCAACTTAAATTTTTTTTGTTTCGATGATTTTATCAAAAAAAAAATAGTTCAGTCGTCAGAGACTTGACCCCTAGAAATCATACGAACAAGCTGAATTTTACCAAGAATATTAATTTTGGGACCCCAAAAAAGATGCAAAAAAGTTTACTACTTTTACTTTTATCCCCGTGTTTCCCTCTAAAGCCCCCTTGTAGGGGGGTAAAAACGCAAAAAAATTGATTTACCAAAAATCTGTACGCCGTGGAAACAAATATTTCAAATTAAAAATGTTTATTAGCACTTTTTGTGTAAAATGAACCGTTCTCTCAGAACCAACGCTTGAAGCGACCGTCGATTTTGATTGTCTTTTGGATTCTTGGTAAATCTGTGACAAGTAGCTCTTTCGGGGCGACAGACTCAGTAAAACACAGGTTGAAATAAAAATAAATCTATTAATTTAGCATATCTACAATAAATAAAAATAAAATGAATCCTATGTCCTCGTCTGGATCCCGCGATGAATGAACTCTTCGGCGAACTTCTTTAAAAGAAAAACAATTTATTATTACTAACAAAGAAATGAAATCTCTCTGTACGGGTTGGCTCGGAGGTTCACTACACCGGCGAGTCAGGGAGCCTAGAGCGCTATCTTCAAGACTATCTAATTCCGCTACTCACACGTCTTATATAGCCGCTCCGAATCCCACTTCGTCGTCTCGTTGTAGAAGTGGATGCGCAAATATTGACACTCCCACGGTTCGAACTGTTAAACGATCAGAATATCGTTACAAATCGATTTTTTGCGTTTTTACTCCCTACGGGGTGTTTTAGGGAAAGCCCGGGGTAAAAGTAGTAAACTTTTTTGCATCTGTTATGGGGTCCCAAAATTAATATTTTTGGCAAAATTCAGCTTGTTCGTACCATGTTTAGAGCTTCAGTAGCATTTTCGTCTCTGACGACTGGAGTAAATATTAGTTGAATTATTATTGCAAATAGTATAATTATAATAATGTATTTTATGAGCTAAAAATAACACTAATACTTTTATTTTTAGATCTGGAAATACTCGAATCACCTGGAAGCCCAGAAGAAGAAATAGATGAAGTAGATTTAAATAAGTTAATGAATAAAGATACCCTCCAATCCTTATGCACGAAAGATAGTGAAAAAAGCACTTTAACATCCATAGCACAACAATCAGCAGTAATAGCAGCAACCACAAATTCTAATGATAGTGATAGTGAACAATTTTACGATACGGAAGATGAACGGTTGTTAAACCACGTAAATGGTATAGAGGATTCAGAGGAAAAAAGTGATACCTACCTAAGTTCTCAAGATTTCTCTTTAACGTCCGATTTCACCGGTGCTACAATAAGTGAAGATGCTTCCTTGCTCAGTTTTAAACAAGAAGATTTAAGTTTGGATGTCGATAGTTCTTTAACAGATATCTCGAAGTATAACGGCGATATTAGTCCCACGTGTGATAAGAGCAGTGTCAAAATAGTTATAAGTGATGATAAAAGTGTAAATACAGACTGCGGTAATTCTTATGAAAGTAAAGAACCTGAGTTACTAATGGAGCAGGAAAAAGATGATGTGGAAGAGTTGGAAGAAAAGCAGCCCAGGGTAAAAAGAAGTACTTCACTAAAATCCGGCAAAACACCTCCAGGAACGCCAGGACAGAAGAAGTATGTAAGATTTGCGGACGCACTCGGATTGGACTTAGCAGACGTCAGGACATTTATGGATGAAATACCAAAAATTCCAACATCGGCTTATGAAGATCTAGTCAACGCAGATCTCAGCGACTCTTCTTCGGATAGCAATCTGGCGACTCTTATCTCTAGAGTAGAATTAAAACCCCAAAAATATCTTCTTCCTATGTTTCAGCAACCAGCTGGACTACCGAACTTTCTTGATTTAGTGAGAGAATACAATGTGTGCCTAGAAAATGTTTATGTTGATGATCCTATTTTACTTTCCTTGAAAGGTACAGTTCGAGTTCGAAATCTGGATTTTCACAAATCTGTTTACATCAGATACTCACTGGATTCCTGGAATACCTTCGCGGATATCCAGGCTACCTACGTAGATAATTCGTGTGATGGTTTCTCAGATAAATTTACGTTTTTATTATATGCTCACACATTGAGTATCGGCCAGAAGTTGGAAATTGCTTGTCGGTTTCAGTGTAGGGGATGCCAGTTTTGGGACAATAATAAAGGTGTAAATTACTGTTTTCAATGCTTACCAGCATCACATCCTAGTACCCCAGGCACTAGTATGATACCGCAACCTCATGATGATTGGGGAGGAGCTAGTTTTTATTAGTGAGTATTTTCTTTAATTCGTTTACTTTCATTAAAATATTAGTATTAAATTATACTAGTTAGACCAGTAGTGTGTTCGTTGTGCAGGTTATCTTTCTAAATGGTAATTGTTATCTTTATACTACGTGCTATTTAAATCGGCACCATGTGGGAAACTTGATATGTTTAATTTTATGAAAAAAAGTTATTTTTCATAAAAAGACGCATTTTAGTCATCCGTTTACAAAACATAGCGTTTAAGAAAACGCGCCCGTTTCTAAAACGAATCTGTTTAAAACGGAACCTGTGCAATGAATGAATTGATGTAGTTTGTCAAACGCATTCGAACCCTTTTCTTCGGGTAGCAAAAGATATTACTCATTCTCATTATATTGATATTCCTTTATTTTGTATCAAGATAATAAATGCTAATGGCATGTTATTATTAAATTTGATAATAGACGAAGATGAAGAATATTTACAGAAATTCCAAATGTTATATATTTTAATACCTTTTCAGCTGAATTAAGTGAAAAAATAACAAATTTATTTCCGAGCCATTTTTCTAGTGTATATTAATCAGATAAAGTTAATTTAAGAAACTTTAATTTTCAAGTAAAAAATTCTGTTGACATTGCATTTGTTCAATTTTCACTTTCTGAACTCTTGGAGTGCACAAAATCGAATCAACATGAAAATCTGAAGGTAGACAACCATGCCTACAAATATGCCTCACTTTTCCCTATCTAGGCTCAATCTTCTTCTTCCTCATGTACCATGTCCTTTCAGAACGTTGGTTACCATCATAGCTATTTTAATTTTATTCACTGCCACCCTAAATAGCATGCTTGTATCTACACCATACCAATCTCGCAAGTTCTTTAACCATGAGGTTCTTCTTCGCCCTGGACTGCGTTTGCCTGCTATTTTTCCTTGCATGATATTTTGTAGCAATCTATATTTGGGACCTCTCATTATATGTCCGAAATATTCCAGCTTTATCTGCTTGATGCTTTTTATGATCTCAGTAGTCTTGCTGAGACGTTCTAGTACTGTGGAGTTACGAATCTTCTCCACCCAGCAAACTTTTAAAATTCTTCTATAGCACCACATTTCGAAAGCCTCAAGGAGATTCAGATCGATTTTATTCACAGTCCAGGACTCGACAGCATAAAGTAAGACCGAGAACACGTAGCAGCGAAGTAGGCGGATCCTTAATGCCAATTTTAGGTCTCTGTTACATAACACCTTGGACATCCTTCTAAAAGCAGCTCTAGCCTGCTCTATTCTGGATCTAATTTCGCCGTGATTTTCTGCATTACAATTTAATTGCTGTCCAAGGTAGACGATTTTATCAACTTGCTCAAGTTTGGTATTATTTACATATATAGACGGTTTTATATTCTGTTGTTTACTTATTACGAGTATTTTGGTTTTCCTTATGTTAAGATCCAGACCTGCCTCCCTACAACTCTCAACGACATTATCAAGTAGTGTTTGCGGATCTTCTTGACTAGAAGCTAGGAGTACTGTATCGTCCGCATATCGCAAATTATTGATGACTTTGCCGTTCACAAGTATTCCTTCTTGTTTTTCAGAAAGTGCTTTTCTGAAAATTCTTTCGGAGTAAACGTTAAAAAGCAGGGGTGACAAGAGGCATCTCTGCCGTACCCCTCTTTTAATATTGAGAGCTTGTGATTCCACACCATCTACTAAAACTGATGTTGTTTGATTCCAATATAAATTTGCAATTATTCGAATATCTCTGCCGTCCAAGCCAATGTTTTTTAGAGCTTCGATCAATATAGAGTGCTCAACACTATCAAATACCTTTTGAAAGTCAATAAAACAACAGTATATGTCTACAGATATATCACGACATCTTTGAGCAAGTACGTTTATTCCAAACAGTGCCTCTCTCGTTCCAAATCCGTTACGGAAACCAAACTGAGTGTCATCCAGGTATTCCTCACATTTATTGTAGATACGACCATGTATTACCTTCAGAAAAATTTTTAATAAGTGGTTTAACAAACTGATGGTTCTATAATCAGCACAGGTTTTTGCTGTTGTCTTCTTAGGTAGAGCTATAAACAGTGAGTTAGACCAACCATTAGGTAGTTGTCCGCTGGTATAAATGGTATTGAAAAACGAAGTTATAGCCTCTAAAACATTGCTATCCTTTATAAGCTTATATATTTCAGTTGCAATTTCATCAGGACCAGTCGCTCTGCCATCTTTTGATGATTGTATACCCTTTATAACCTCACAGCGTGTTATTAGGGGTCCGTCGCAGTTAGTAATATCCGGAGGTGAACTACTCCTATCGTCTTCGAATAGGTTCGTGACGTAATTTTCACAATTCCATTCTTTAAGTTTGTCCTCTACTTCGAACATTACTTTACCATTTTCATCCTGTAGCAATGCATTTTATTTCTTATTGAAGATACCAGCCGCTTCTTTTACTTTTTTATACATGTTAAACGTGTCGTATCTTTTTTCGAGTTCTTCAATGTCATGACACTGTTTGGCTAGATGTTGACTCTTTGCTTCTCGTATTTTACGTCGAATTTCTTTTTGTATACTATTGTAAAGTGTTTCGTTGGTTTTTGGTAGTCGCCGTTGTTCCATCAAATCCAGTATATCATCTGTCATCCAAGCCTGCTTTTTTGGCTTTGACCTGCCTTGTAAATTTCTCACACAGATTTCTTTTGCTGTCGTTACGATGTTATTTAAGCCCTCGTCGACGTTTTCACCAATATTTAGGCTCAATAGGCTCAATCAAAAATGAAAACAACATCAGTCAAGAAATACAAGCACGGTTTCTTAGCGGTAATAAGTGCTTTCATGAAACGTAAGTTACTGAATCGTGAGTCTAAGTTTAGAATCTACAAAACAGTAATTAAACCAGTGCTCACATATGGATGTGAAACTTGGACCCTCTCAACCACTGATGAAAATCAACTGAGAATAAAATGAAAAAGGCAGTCAAAATTTGATTCCACGTACAATGGTTCTGTGTATCTGCTTATATGTATTTCGCCCTAATAGTGCTCATCAGAACAGCTATTCACAGGCATTCTGAACGTGAAAATAAATCTTTTCTGTCTTCAGAAGCAACTCTTACATGGCTTCGTATGGAGGCAAATAGCGACATTTGATAATAAATCCGTAAACTGTTTTCGAAACCAATTCAGATTTCTGATTTATTATCAGATGTCGCTATTTGCGTACATACAAAGCCATGTTACAGTTGCTTCTTAAGGAAGAAAAGATTTATTTTCATTTTCAGAACACCTGTGAATAGCTGTTCTGATGATCCCTATTAGGGCGAAATACATATAAGCAGATACACAGACGCATTGTACGTGAAATCAAATTTTGACTGCCTTTTTCATTTTATTCTCAGTTGATTTTCATCAGTGGTTGAGAGGGTCCAAGTTTTACATCCATATGTGACCACTGGTCTAATTACTGTTTTGTAGATTCCAAACTCAGACTCACGATTCAGTAACTTACGTTTCATGAAAGTACTTATTACCGCTAAGGATCCGTGCTTATATTTCTTGACTGATCTTGTTTTCATTTATTATTGAGCCTAGATAGGGAAAAGTGAGGCATATTTGTAGATATGGTTGTCTATCTTCAGATTCTCATATTAATTCGATTTTGTGCACTCCAAGAGTTCAGAAAGTGCAAATTGAACAAATGCAATGCAACTCAACATAATTTTTTACTTGAAAATTAAAGTTACTTAAACTAGAAAAATGGCTCGGAAATAAATTTGTTATTTTTTCACTTAAATCAGCTAAAAAGTTATTAAAATACATAACATTTGGAATTTCTGTAAATATTCACCATCTTCATCTATTATCAAATTTAATAATAACACGCCATTAGCATTTATTATCTTGATACAAAATAAAGGAATATCAATATAATGAGAATGAGGAATATCTATTGCTACCCGAAGAAAAGGGTTCGGATGCGTTTGACAAACTAGATCAATTCATTCATTTCACAGGATCCGTTTTAAACAGATTCGTTTTAGAAACGGGTGCATTTTCTTAAACGCTGTGTTTTGTAAACGGATAATTAAAATGCGTCTTTTTATAAAAAAAATAACTTTTTTCCTCACATGGTGCCGATTTAAATAGACATCCTGTATAAAGATAACTATTATCATTTAAAAAGATAACGTGCTAAATCAGAATTATGCAGCTAATTTTCAAAATGCGGTTTTCAAAATAAAATTATAATTTTCCGTATTCAAAAATACTCAGTTGTTTATTTTTATACATACATCTTCATAAAAATGAAAGTTATAGCAAAAAATGCTATTTTTAATTTCCACTTTAACACCCTGTATCTTTCTTAATAACAATATTTTCCGCAAATCGCCAGGAAATTTTGACATTCCTGTCAAAATTTCTTGAAGAAAAAGTCAGGACTTCCTTACTGTAAGGAAATGTTATTTCCTTACTGTAAGGAAATGATATTTCCGTACAGTTGTTAGTGTTCTACATAAATGATAGAAAACACATTGCTTATAAGAATAGTACATTGTTTACCGGGTAGGAAAAGCTTAACATTCCTGGACGACTGTGAAGTTTGCTAAGTCGAGGCGCAAGCCGAGACTTAGCAATACAGAGTCCAGGAATGTGGCTTTTCCTACGAGGACAACATATTTTTTTTCCGCAAATCGTTTAAAATTCGACAGATATTAATTGATTTAAAAAAAACGCGATAATTTTATTCCCAAATAAATGGTGCTTTGAAATTCCTAATAAAATTACTTGGGTTACTATGGAAACGTATTGAGGTTGAATTGTCAAACTTGACGCTCATTTATGTAGAACACTAACAACTGTACGGAAATATCATTTCCTTACAGTAAGGAAATGTCATTTCCTTACAGTAAGGAAGTCCTGACTTTTTCTTCAAGAAATTTTGACAGGAATGTCAAAATTTCCTGGCGATTTGCGGAAAATTAATTTATATTTTGAAAACATCAAGTCATTG